CAAGTCGGTCTTCCACAAAGCTGACATAAGTGGGATAATGCTCGTAAGATACTGCCGCATGCCCGCATCACACTATAAGCTCAGTAGAAATGACACACTTCTTCCACTCTTTAATAGATAATTACATATATTAGTGACAAATTTGTTTGTTGACATATGAGGAAGTCAGAATAGCAACTAAAATAGAATGAAATGACGACAAGTACATGACATAAGTTAAAATAATACATCGATAGTTGGTATTTTGACAATTGACCATGTAGTTGTATGTTTGCCCATGTTTTATTTTGGTCATATTGTAGGAAAAACACCATAGAATGAAATAAATAAAACTTTTAACAGCTTCCATTTAAGCTCTGCTAACTAATAAACTTACTGTAGGGTATAGCCCTTGTTTTCTGGCATTTCTTGAAGCTCCTTCAGCACTTTTACTTTCGGCCTGATCCAAAGAAAACATAAAGTGTAGCTTTCAATTAAGAGGGCCGTCTTTGACAAACATTTGGATGTATAATTTCCAACAGGAAAAAAACTCACCCTGTACCTAGACCATAGATCATTTCAGGGGCAATAGTTACACCAGCAAGCTCACGAAGTAGTGAATAGGCGAAGCGGCTCTGAATTGGAAATGCAGCAATACACATAACTAAGACCCAACTATTTCATCTATTGATGTGGTTTGTAAAACAAATATACCTGTTTTGTGGTCACAATGTAGATCTTTGAGCTTGCAAACTTCAGCGCATCTGCTACTCCAGGATAAAACCTGCAGAAGCTCAGAAGCTCATAATAATAATAGTGAAAAAGAACTTTTGGAAAATGCAAGTAATGTGTTTCCATGCATAACCTTCTTCAAGGAACAACATACGTAGCAAATGAATAGGGTAAAATGCAGTTTTTGTCCGGTAACTGTAGGAGCTTGGCAATATTAACGCTGTTGGATTCTTAGCAGTCTGGACCAAGTTCTTATAAAAAAATTGTCAATTTGTCTAGAAACCTCCTGAAAATTGCAAAACTCACGAGAAGATACTATTTGAATTAGAGATGAAATGACTTGCAAGTGGTGTAATAGTTTTATTATATTTTTTAAAACGAGCAAATACTCAATTTAATTGAAAGTGACAAAAAATGTTTTTTTCTGTTTTCCCCCCTTAAGTAGTATGTTTAGCATTTTGAACGGCATTTTTCATGGTTTGAAGACTAAAATACTCATATTTGAAAAAAGGATTAAATTGCCTAAAGAATGTCACAAGTTCTGCGAACTCCGTAAGAGGTACTGTGTTTTTCAATTTTTTCCCACATGAGAGTAAAATCAGAAGGAAACACGGTAAAGAAGAAATATTCACTCCACCAATAAACATCTTAGGGTGAATTAGCAATCATTTCTGTATGCAGTTTGACACCACATGATATGGGGCAGTGCTAGGTTACTTACCTGTTTGATCCAATCCAAGTATCCATATCATTGTCCATCCAGGCATCCCTGACCTTACCAAAAAGATCAATTAGATCATCTACGTTTTCATTCCATTCTTCGGTAATGAGAGGCTTTATCTCCCTCCAGTTTTCAAGAATATTGTCAACTGTAAGACCATCTGCAACCTTGAATATTCAACAACAAACTTATAAACATCAGGGCTCATTACTATCAAGACAAACAAGCACAAAAAAAGAAAGAAAATTTCCAATTAAGAAATCATTAGTGTATCACCACACCGATTTAACTATTTGACAGTTTCTGAATACCAACCGAGGATTTGCGAACGGAAGGAACTCTAATTTCTAACAGAAGCCTCACAAGCAATAGATTTTCATAGCCAAATTCTATCACAGGCCTAACCTGAAACGAACTGCGATGTTAATTATGCATGAACTATATGTTTCAGACATAAATACATCATCTTTCCAAACAACGAAGATAAAATTGTCGCCGATAGCTCCTACATTTACACATTTAACAAAAACAATCTCCGCTATGAGAAATTTATGAATAATAATCTCAACTCTACAGTAGTTTTCTGCACTGTTAAGGCTCCTTGTTTGTTTTTTCGTTTTGCAAAAAATATCATGAGCTATTTGACCACAATAATTTTGAGCCTAAAATTATTTACAGTATAAATATAATCTTATACTTATTGTGTCCCAAAATAATTTTCTTACTTCTTCTTTATTGTGCCAAATGAATTTCTCCATTTTAAAACAAATTCAACCACCCAAGTCCAAATTCTGAACTCCTGGCCAAACGCAAGTGGAAGGTTATTATGACAAGGATGATGGTACAACAACATTATCCAAGCCATAGTTCCAAAAGAGTTTCGGATCAGTTTATTAAAAATTGTAGTAAATAAAGTTAAACCCTTCCGTACTAATATATACTCCCTCCGGTTCTTAATTAAGATCCTGGTTTGACTTCACACATATTAAGAAATAAATTTGACTTTATTGTGGAGTGCACTGTTTGAACACTGTTTGGCACTGTTTGAACACTGTTTGACACTGTTTCGCACTGTTTTGGTGTAAATCATTTGCCAAATAAGGAAATGTTTGAAGTAGGAACTTTAATATGGACCATCCCAAAAACGAAAGTAGGAACTTAATTACGGGACGGAGGGAGTATATACTGATTAATAATTCAAATTCTATTGAATCGCAATAATCGAATTTGAAAATTATGAAGATTTATTCTACAAATTAGAAATTAGAAGTAAGTTATATAAGTTGATGATGAATTGTTTATGGGTCTTTAAACTCGAGACAGATGAAGTACTACTCTCAAAAAAGTTAAGTTTGGGGTAGGCTAACATGAATAGATATATCATACTTGTATATAAAAAGCTTAATTGAACTAAATTGATGCTTCAAATTCATTTTAGAACAAAAAACCCAGAAATGGAATTATGTTCGGAACTCCAGAGATGAACAAAAAGCAACTTACAATATGCATATGATCAACAATCCAATCTTCAGACAAAGGATCAACAGTCTTGAACAGACTGGGCCATCTCACTCTAGCAGCCTACAATCAGCAGCCGTGGTAAGAGATCAGATTCAATTAAGTCAAAGCAAGGTTTTAATTATCAGAAATGCATCAATGAATCTACGGAAAATTGTACTTCTTATTAAATAAATAAATAAAATATCAAAAAGCTACATTGTATGACCTTTACGGCAGATAGAGAGCTTTCTCCGCAACTATCACAGAGAACCCCGTCGAAATCCAGGGCATACAAATCACCCATATCCCTGTCTTAGTGGCTCTGAAATGGCAGGGCTTATACTCAACTTTGTACAGTAGCTCTTCTGGTAGAATAAAGTCAATTAAGTCATTAACAGCAAGAAGTGGCAAGAAGTGATGCTTTTGGATAAGGGTCAGTTTGGTCCTCGAAGTTGCAAAAAAAAGATCAAATAAGTCCCAGATAAAAAATCAATCGGGAAGACATTCAAATGAATTCTTGAAGATAACTGTGCCGTTAAAAGCACAGTTATCTTCAAGAATTCATTTGAATGTCTTCTCGATTGAATTTTTAGCTAAAATTTGGTATGAGTAAACTAGACTTAATGAATAAGATGCTCAAAAAATTTTATCAAAAAAATCCACCGGGAATATTATCCGGACGTGCCATTTGAGGTAAAATTTTAACACTCTTATACATGCGGTTTTGGAGCATATCTTTTATAGAAATCCAAATAGAAATATATTTAGAGCCAATGAATATTTGTTATCAAAGTTAATGAAGCATTATTAAATATTCAATAATTAATAACAATTAAATATTCAATTGTTGATTTGTACCTAATTAGACCAAAACAGACAAGATCATACCAGACTTGGATAGTTATAAAAATACAAAAAGATAAGACCAGACCAGTTCAAACCAGATCAGACCAGCAAATTACAGTCCAAGTAAAAACATCCTCAATGATTAATTACAAGTCTAATTAATAGTTATAGGTTACAAATTAAATATTAGAAGAATAAAGATATATATACAATAAATATAAACAAAATTGTTAGATAATTATTAAAAACATACACATGCAAAATTAATTAATAGGCATAACATAATAATAGTTTGTTTGGTGACTCTGTTTTTCAGCTTATTAGTGAACTTTTTTACCACATACGTAACTTTTAATTTTGCGCGTTGAATTGTGTAATAACAAAAAACGTAAGATTATAGTTACTTTTGTTGCTGTATTGACTGAAGTTATTGTACATGATTATTTTAGCTATTTTGTCAAATATTTTTTTCTTTATTTCATTAATAAAATATTTTAAAATTTTTTTTTTCTAAATTAGCAAAATTAGCCCATTTAGTTAGAATCAGTCGATTTAGCCAATTTTAGTGTTATCAAACGGGTTCTAAAAAATATGGAATGTCCTAATTTTCAAATCTAAAAATTGAACATTGCATTATATTTAGCACGATAAATCGGGATATAAACATTGTATGAAGTACAACGATAATCATTGATATCATCCCATAAAATTTGACCATAGTTGACTTTCGTGTAAAATACGAATTATGAAAGTAAAAAATACATGATTGGTGTTTATGTAGAGAGAAAAATAACTTTAAATGCATACTCGGTATTTACTACTTTAAATAGAAACTATAATTTGGGGATACGCGGTAGAGTATTTATTTAACAATTTTGTACTCTTTGTATGAGTTAGTGTATCTTTAAAAACTATTTTACATGTACTCTAATATAGTTAAATAGAGTTTTTGTCACTTTTAGTCTTCCGAGTATTATGTCATTGTCACTTTCGGTATTCGACTTTGAATTTTTCCATTTTTAGTTATCCGATTATTATGTCATTCACACTCTTGATACATTGAAGTCAAGGATTAAAAGTGTCTATCGCACAATAGTCAAGGATTTAATATGGAAAAATTGAAAGTCGAAGTACAAAAGTATAACTGATCCAATAGTGGAGAGACTGAAAATGGAAAAAAACTAATAATTTCATCTGAATTTCTAAACGCAATGGAGTACAAAATGAATATCCCATATCTAACTCTAAGTGACCCATTTAGGGCGCGTTTGGCTTAATGAAGGGTGGGGGTGAAGATGGATAGAGTTTGATAGTTTCACAATAATCATCCTAATCACTCTAAAAGCCCTTGATCGAATCGGAAGGGAGGCGAAAAAACCCAACCAAACGCACTCACTATCTTTTAATCGTGTTTTTTTCTCTATATATTCACACTTTTAAGCTGCGGGCAGGCATGGGAAATCAGCAGCAGGGTTTCCCGCCGATCCGAGCAAAAGTGGTTAAGCCGAAAGCGGTGGCGGCGCAGGAGAAGACAAGAACGCCGCCGGCCCTTTGTCGGGAAAAAACCTTGGCCAAGTAGAAAGCAACATCGAAGGTGATCTTGTGGCCGTCCTGGGCGAGGAGGCGGCGGCTTTTTCCGAAGAATGCGAGGAGTACGATGACGGTGATCCAGGTAACGATGGTTGTCCGGACGGCAATGGCGAGCAGGACAGCGGCGGCGATGAGGAGGAGTGAAATGGCGGCGGCGGTGGTCATCCTGGGAATGAGGGAGAAGGAGAGGGATTGGAAGAATTTGTTGTGTGTGGAGGGGACGATGATGAGGGAATTTATCTGCTTGAGGAGAAAATCTAAGGAATGATAGGCGGGGCGGGTGAGCGTGGGATAACGAGGGAGGCATATGGCTGTGATGTGGGCTGCACATGGCATGGCCGGACAGTTGGGTCTTGTGGCCTTCTGCATTACTACCTAGTACGTACTCCATTCTTTCATATTTTTGTTAAATAAATACTCTCTCCGTATCTTTAAAATCTTCCCATTTCAAAAAAGTAGGTAGATTAAGAATAGTGAAAGATGATATGAATTATTGAGGGCAGGGGCGGAGTTAGGGGGTGCCCAGGCTAGGCCTTGGCCCACCCCAAATTTGAAAAATGTCAATATTTTTAGTGTAAAAAATTTCGTGTAAATTTTTTTCCAATAATATTCGTTGTACCGGCCCAGTCTAGCCCAGTGTCCTGGCTACGTCCCTGATTGAGGGTATGATGGGAAAATAGTGGAATAATGTGGTGGAATGTAGGATAAATCCAAAAAAAGTAGTTGTAATAGTGTATTATTTTAAGAATTATTGAGGGTATGATGGGAGATTTAGAAATGAGAAGATTTTTGTGTTACGGACGAAAAAGGAAAGTGGGAAGATTTTTAAGTTACGGAGGGAGTAGATAGATATGCCCTCCTTTCCTAAATAAAAGCTCTCATTTAATAAAAATCTTCTTCTTCTTATCATCAAACAAAAAAGTGTGAAACATTGCAAAATAGTACTACCTCCGTTCCAAAAAGAGTTGCAAATTTGACTTTTCTTAGTCAAACAGTCTCGTTTTGTTCACTTAATTAGGATACCAATTTTTAATTATATTCTAATTTGGAGTTTACGACTTTGAAGAGATTTTAATGTAATTTTTGAATATGTAAATTTTAATTATTAAAAATTGAATTAATTACCCATACGGATGGTTGACTTTTATTATTGCTTGACCAAAAATTGTTGACTTTGCAAAACAAATTGGGACGGAGGAAGTACTACGTATCAAATCAAAAATGTCGTTCGTATTCATTTTTATACTCATTTTTGTATTCACCTATGTTTGTGAAGTGTTTTTTTTGTCTGTGAACTGAGTTCACAAACAAAAGAAACATTTCACAGACATGGTGCGTATAAGGTGGGTGTAAGAGTGGATAAATCAAGCATTGTTGCGTATCAAATAGTAACAAATAGTGTCCAGATAGTGGCAAATAAAAAAGTGTTAAACAGTGCAAAATAGTATCAAATAACGACAAAGAGTGTTTAAACAACATCAAACATTGTCAAACAATCTCACTTTCTTAAATTTTAGGAAGTATGTAAAAAGAATGGAACAAACGGAGTACAATCAATTCAAAAAGCATCCAACCAAAAGTGATCATACACACACATTCTTCATTCTCCTCTCCTCTCCTCTCCTCTTTATTAATTAAAGGATTGATATGGGGGGCTACCATGAGGACCCACATCACGCCACAATTCTCATGGACATGCGGTACACAACGTGATCAAGTGTCATACACGTTTTTTTATTATCAACATTTATTTATTTATATTATTCTGAGGAGGCCACACACATAGCTAGCAGACTCTTCCAACAAGGCAACAACATGCATGCTCCCATCCATCCGTATATTCTTAGTATCATCATAATCATGTTATTAGTTCATTACTCCATATCACATAACTAATTTAATTTATCCTCCGTCACTTAAAACTTTGTTATTTCTCTTTTGAATTGTTCTAAAACCTAAGTGACTTTTTTTAATCTATTAATTTGTGATACCAGTTATTTTCTTCTCCTCTGCACATACCTCAATCACACAAATTTTTACTATATTGTTCTTCATTCTTGTCAAATTTGGCAAAGTTTTAAATAGGGGTGTGCAAATATACCGAACCGGCATGGTACCGAACCGGATCGGTATGGTACCGGATTGACAAACGAGGTTTGAAACCGGTCTCAAATTTTTTTGTCCTGAACCGTACCGATTCCAAACAATGTCATGACGGATTCTCGTAAAATGAGAACCGGACCAAAATATGGTTTAATTATTTAAATTTGTACTACTATATTTTATCTGAAATTTATTAATTACCTCATCTATCCCTAATTGATTAGTAAAGTCAACATTTTTTGTTAATGTTAATGCTAAGTCCTCCCTAATAATAATTAATAATTTTTTTAATAATTAAAATTTACATATAGTTAGAAATCACATCAAAATCTTTTTAAAGTTGCAAAATCCAAATTAAAATATACGGAGTACTTTTTTCCGAAAGGCCATATTAGAATAGAATTAAAAAGTGAAATCCTTGTTAAGTAAATAAAAAGAAGTTGTTTGACCCAAAAAGTTTTACTTTGCGAATCATTTGGAACGGTGGTAGTATGAAATATGAAAATTGATAAATTGTGTGCATTTTTACAATTTTGGAGGATGACTAAACTTTAAATTTTCCTTAAATACTTAAAAAAGTGGCATTGTTTGGTATTGGTATGACATGATATTGTCCCGTTCGAAAATGAACCGTACCGAACGGGTTTAGGTCTAAGACCTAATCGAACCATTTCAATAGTAACGGTACAGGTATGGGTTCGGCAAAATATTAGACCAAACCAGACCGTGCCCACCCCTAGTTTTAAAAGATGTGGTAGTAAAACATTGCAACTAGGATTAAATATGGGCCGAGTCCAGTAAGTGATATAGGAAACTAACGAACGAAGCTTGAAACCACAGTCGGGATGTTTTTACTTGGACTGTAATTTGCCCCAGACCAGACCAGTCCAAACCAAATCAGACCAGTTCAGACCAGACCAGACTTGGATAGTTATAAAAATACAAAGAAACCAGACCTTACCAGACCAGACCAGACCAGTTTAGACCATACCAGACCAGCAAATTACAGTCCAAGTAAAAACATCCTCAGGCCTATGTCACCAAATTTCATTTTTATTTGTGATAATTATCTTTTTCGCCCACTTTTGAAAACTACTCCCTCCCTCCCAATTTGTTTTGCAAAGTCAACATTTTTTGTCAACCAATAATAAAAGTCAACTCTCCTTATGAATAATTAATTCAATATTTAATAATTAAAATTTACATATTCAAAAACTACATTAAAATCTCTTCAAAGTTCTAAACTCTAAATTAGAATATATTTAAAAATTGGCATTCTAATTAAGTGAACAAAACGAGACTGTTTGACCAAGAAAAGTCAAATTTGCAACTCAATTCGGGACGGATATAGTACATTTCACTCATGACACATGCTTAACTTTTTTCCTTTCATCTTTGCAGTTCTGTTTTATAACCCTTTTATTTCAGAAATACAGGACTCTTCCTTCTGATTCTCTCTCTTTGACAACCTTTCACTTCAACAATGGCTTGATAGATGCTTCTCGGAGGCTTAACTTCACTAGCTCTTTCTAAAATTAAGATAAATTTTGCATTTGTGTTCCATTTTTTCCAAAAGTAATAACGAATTGAGCAATTTTGTGTTATATTATCTTTAGTATAACATCAATTTTCAATATTTAAAAAAAATATTAATTATTATGAGAAATGTGTAACACTCCGTAAAAAATAGGTTAGTTAGGCAGCAAATATAATGTTTGGAGTTAATGACAAAATTAGTACTATCCTCCGTCTCTTTTTAATCGCAACATGTTGAATTTTACACTATTCACATGTTCTACTTTGACTACATTTTATAATATTATTTTATGAAAATTATTTTTTTAAAATTATATTGTTCAATTCATCTCATTACAAATTTTCAAAATCTAATTTTTAAATATTTTTTAGTAATAGGGATTAAGATATAATAACGGTCAAAGATGTGCGTTGACAAGTGTGAAATGTTGACCGTTGCAACTAAAAAAGAACGGAGGAAGTATATCGTATACTACCTACAATAAGATTTGACATAATATTTAAGAAAAAGTGGTAGAAGTAATGAATAACGTAAAAAAAAGTACGAGAAATGGTGAAAAAGTATGAAAAAAGAAGAAAAAGTAGACAACATAAAAATAATTGAGTATTTTTAAGTGGAAAATTTATCAAAGGAAAAGTATAGCAAAAATTATAGTGCTTTTTAAAAAAGTGTGGCAAACATTTCAATACATAGGGATGGATAATTATTTAAAAGCAGTCACTATTTAAATTTTCAATATCCAAACACAAAATCATGATTCGTCTCATTCCAAACATTAATGTCAATTAATTGTCTATAAGCTTATTTTTCTAATATAGAACCACAGTGTCATTAAACTAATTAGAGCTTGTTCGGGTAATACTTTGGTAATACCCAAATATGATGTCTTTGCTGATTCTGTTGAAATTTATTAAGTTTTGTCTAAAATGGCAGGATTGCTTATTCAGGTTTATAAAAGAATATATTTAATATATATTTTATTCATAAAATAAAGAAAAAAAAATTAAAAAAAAACAACTTAGATCATCATCTAGAACAACTTCAGCCAATACAGTAATTCTATTCTTACATTTTCTTATAATTACACAATTTAGCGTGTGAAATAAAAAATAACGTGTTTGATGAAAAAAGTTAGTTGATAAGCTCGATACTCCAAAAAACATGATCACCAAACGAGCTCATAAGCCGAAAGACATATGGAACAGGAAGCATGTCTCGGTGTTCGCCTGAAAAACTCACAAGATAAAGTCACTAGCTTAGAATCAGAAGTAGATAAACTTAAGAAACTGTATGTGACTTAACCAAGGATCTGGATGAAAATAAGTGAAAACGCTCTGAAGTTGTTACTCATTTTGAACTTTTTAACAAGGAACTTGATCATCTTTATTGTAAAATAAAGGAGTTAGAGGATATTCTTTCTAAAAGAGGTCAATATGAACAAATTGTTTTTCTATTAAATAACATACCAAAGGACATTGAATTTTACAATCCTAAAGAAGGATTAGGTATTCAAAACTAAGTAACTTAAAGAAAGTTAATTGCAAACAATTTTATGACATTAGGTACATGAAGTTAGGGTTAGCAAAAATAATGTTTTTCACTAGTGCTTCTGAAATTAATCAGGAAGAAGAGAAAAAAAAGCAAAAATAGAGCTAAAACTGAAATTGGTTTTGATTATACTGCTCTTAATGAGAACTATGCTACAAGACAAATTCATTTGTCTGATGACTATATTGCCCTCTCCCCTCCTAAAAATTAAATTGTGTCCAATTTGGATGAAGCCTCTACATCTGATCTTCATTCTTCTTTTGAATAAGAACGAGAACAGTTCAAAAGGAGAATGGAGATCAGACATTTCTGATAATTCCCTTTCTGAAAAGGATAAAAAGAAAAATCATTTGAATAAGAAAAGGGACTTATCTTCTTCTCCACCTCCCCATGCAGGGAAATCTTTTTCTAATCACCATGCTGGAAGGATAACCTGAATAATTCCGAAGAATGTTGTTGTCAAGGAGACAAGACTTGAGCAACCCAAGAATAATTCTAAAATCTTTAATTTTGTTAGGAAAGTCTTGTAATAGTTTTAGAAATTGTTTTCGTTCTAGTTCTTCTGCTAGTTTCTCTAGTTATATTTTAGACAGTTCAACTAAGTTTTCTCCTTCTCATTCTAGATCTGTTGACTCTTATTCTGGTGATTATTTTAAGTTTGATAATTTAATTTCTCTCTTTCCAAATGTGATGTGAGTTATGTGAATACCAATTAATGATTGTGTTACTTTCTCTACTTGTGAAGGTGCTTGTTTAAATTATCCTTTGAAAGTGTATTGAATCAAACATCTTAAAAGATTAGCAAGAGATAAAATACTCACAATGTTAAGGATACTCACTCATCTTTCAAGAACAAATCTGAACATGTTTCAAAGATCAAGCAGTCTGGATTCCTAAAAGTGAAGTTAATAAAACCGCTTTAATTATTTCTTCAAATAAACAGGACGGACCCGACCATCCTTCCTTATAAGGCTACCTAAGGCTACTTAATTTTTGCAGGTCAGTCATGTGTGGTATCTAGATTCAGGTTGCTCCACACACATGACTCGGAAGAAAGAGCTGTTGAGCAACTACATCGACAAGTTCGGTGGAAAAGTGAGATTTGGAAACAATGAGTCTGCTCCTATCCTTGGATACGGAGATATCTGTAACAGGAAGGTTACAATCAAAGATGTGTCATACGTTGTTAGATTGATGCACAACCTGTTTTGCATCGGTCAATTCTGTGACAAAGGAATGAAAGATATCTTCCGAGCTAACCAGTGATGCGTGAAAGATGATCAAGGGAAGACTTTTCTGAGGTGTAGACGCAAATCACGCCTATACATCATTGTTCTGAAAACTGTCTATCCCTCTTCTGATGTCTGTCTACTGTCAAGAGCATCTTCTAAATAAAATCAACTTTGACATAAGAGGATGTCTCATCTGAACTACATGGATCTACATACATTGTCATCAAAGAAGTTTGTTACTGGTCCGCCAGCTATAGTTACTAACCATAAATTCATGGGAGAACTGTCAAATAGACCCTTATACTATATCAAAAAAAGCAATTAAGCTCTTGTACTATAAAAACACCCAATCAAACCCTCAAAGTTATAAAAAAAACATTCAAATCGGCTATATAGCTGGTTGTTCACCAGTTTTCCGGTTGTCCACTTACGTGACTGCCACGTGAAGTATGTTTTCTCTCTCTTCTCATTTCGTTGTCGGATTTCTTCGATCCAGCTCCTCTGCCTTACTTAGGCAAACAAGGAGGGTGTCAGGCCTTTTTGAACCATCAGATCAAAAAACTAATGGCATAAGATGAGTGGGTCCTTTTTGGACACAAATCTCAATGCCTCTCTTTTAATCCCTGCCCTCTATATTGGTAAGGTCCTCTGCCATAAGGCAGAGGATTCTAATCCGATTTCTTTCCATATGTTGTTTCTTTCATCAAAGTATTCTTCTCCCTTTAATTTTTGCGTCCTCCTGTTCTTCTGTTTTTCACTATGGTCTATGGCGATTCTTTCTATTTTGACTCGTGTATTATTATTTCTCCTTTTCATCATCTACTTTAAATATTTCTTCTATATAAAAAAAATAAAATACGAGATTTTTTAAATCTAGCAGAAAATAGCTCCAAAGTCCAAACCGAACTTGCACTTCAATAGCATTTATGGTTTGAAAAGATTCTTGAGGTCCGATTAGCAATCTCAATTTTTAGATCCAGTCTACATTTAATCATCTTCATTATATCGGAAGTAAATGGAAACAGGGGCGGATCCAGGATATTTAGTGGTTGGGGCACCTATTAAGAGAAAATAATTTTTTTTCATAATGTAGTACATATAAATTAAGTTCACATGATTGAATAATCCAAAATTAACACACTATAAAGTATTATGAAGTACATTTTATTACAACGGCTCTCTATATATGAGTTTTTTTTTTGAAATCAACCCATCACAATTTGGTTTCTAACGGCATCAACCCATCACAATTTGGTTTCTAACGGCATCAAATATATCTATTTTAACATAACAAATAAGACACAAACAAAATGTCTTGTCCTCTTGTATCAAATTAGTTATGAACAAAAACGAAATAATTATAAAAAAACTAAAAATAAATAAGTGTACTAAGTCTTTGTAACACAAAAAAGATTTAGCCCTGACTTGGAACGGAGCTTGAGAGCTTCTCTCTCTAAAACTTCAGAGTTTCCTAGGGTTTACGCCGCTAGGTTGAGTTTTTCCGTTTTCGATCTCCCGATCGAAGAACGGTGGTTCTCTGGGCTTGCGATTATCGCAAGGCTCGGCTTGGTGATCTGGTTTCTGGTTTCGGTCGCGGAAGAGAGGAGAGCTCAAAGGACTCGGACATCGAGACCGAAGGAGGTTGACTGCAGATGAAGATGAATGGAATCGGTTGAGGATTGGAGGACAATTTCACGCAGATGAAGAGAGCCGAGCAGTGCAAGATACGGAAAAATTGGCGGTGGTTGATGCTGACGAAGGGGCGGTCGAGTTGGAGGTAAACCGCATTGGTGCAATAACAATTGTCACAAGAGTGCGGCCTCCTCCAGAACCACCACCAAGGGTTGATCGACGCGGTTTGGAGTTTGATTATTTATTTTTTCTGCACTTTAATTTCCAGGTTAAGACGTTTGTGTGTTGTTTTATTTTATGTTTTAAGACTCTTGCATTAGGTTTGGGGGATGAGAGATCTGCGGTAACCGTCCTTGACTTTAAATTGCCCAATTCAGGTCTAGCGAGTTATACTGCTTTTACACATGTGGTTAACTCTCAGTCTCGGCCACGGGCGGATGGTTATATGTGGTTCTTTTGTTATCCTGTACCCCTGCTGAATGTTGTGTTTTTAATTTAAGCCATCTGTGTGACAAAAAAAAGTCTTTGTAACACAACAAAAGCCTAGTATCATTAGCAATTTAGCACCCTTATAAAAACTGAAATTAATAATTTATAAAATTTAAAATGTAATCTAACAGTGGAATAGAAATAAGTAACTTATAAATTTGTTATTAAAATCATAACTAGAAAGCAAAATAGTAAAAAGAAAGAGCAATACAAATTTATTAACCTGAAAAAAGAGAATACAAATGTAAAAGTGGATCTCCAAGATAAAGAAAGTGGAGAAAATGTTTTATATGGGATATTTTGACTTTGCACCCCTTTATTTGGTTGATATTGCACTTTGCACTTCATTTTCAAAACTTTTAGACTTTGCACCCTATTTCCCCTAAAATGTCTTTGCCTCTGCACCCCATTTAAGAATTTTTCTTCACAAAATGTTGTAGATGGGGTGCAAAGTCTAAAAGTTTTGAAAATGGGGTGCAAAGTACAATATCACCCAAAAAATGGGATGCAAACTCAAAATTCCCCTTTATATAAACTTGGAAGAAAATTTAATTGGCAATCTTTTTATTTACACTCTTATGAGCGAATGACCTCCAGCCATTCACAAATAAACCTTGGGAGCGAATGACTCCCTAAGATATTGGATAGATAATTGTTGGAGAAGTTGACACGAGGAATGGGATTAAAGCCCGTAAATTGAAAAGTTCTATAGTGGATACCCAACCTAGTTGGTCCTAGGTTCAAATGGGACAACTAAATTATAGAGCGAAGGATGGTCACTGTGGGGGTCCCGGACTCCTACCCACTCCTCGTTGAAACAGTGACTCCCGCACGAGGTTAGCAAAAACGTTTGCTTTAATGATTCTAAAATGTTGATCTACTCGATAACATTGGAAGAGTATGCGGGATACTCGTGAAAGAATCACCTATGTGAGAGAGAAGAGGGCCGCTTCAAAGGAGAACTGTAAAGGCTCAGTTCTTTAGAAACTCTTGCAGAACCAGGACGGTGACCCATGGCCAAAACGGGCACACCCATGAGAACGGAACAAAGTTGGAAGGTTCTTGTGTAAAGATAAGTCAATGTTTACACGACGGCAGTATAGTTCAAAGACATCGAGTCTACTTGGCCAAGGTTTTTTCCCGACAAAGGGCCGGCGGCGTTCTTGCCTTCTCCTGCGCCGCCACAGCTTTCGGCTTCACCACTTTTGCTTGGATCGGCGGGAAACCCTGCTGCTGATTTCCCATACCTGTCCGCAGCTTAATTGCTCCTGTAGTAAAAGTGTGAATATATAGAGAAAAACACAATTAAGAGGTAGTGAGTGCGTTTGGTTGGGGTTTTCCCTCCCTTTTTAGGGATAGCGAATTTTTCATTGAGGATTTTTTAGAGTGATCCAGATGATAGTGTGAATTTATCAAGCTCTATCCCTTCTTCACCCCAGCCTTCCTTAGCCAAACGCGCCCTAAATGGGTCACTTAGATATGGGATATTCATTTTGTACTCCATAGGCCGTAGGCCTTCTGAAATTCAGATGATTTTTTGTTGGAATTCATTGATTTCACGGATAATGTATGTATGCATTGTTGTTGTAAAAGTTAAAAGCTCTTATTGAATGAGTAAACGTACCTCCAAATTATAGTTTTCATTTAAAGTACGTAATAAATGTGTATTTAAAGTTATTTTTCCATCTACATAAATATCAATCACATAAGTTTTACTTTCATAATTCGTATTTCATATAACTGAGGGGAGTGAATCCAAAGAATAGCTAGTGAAGTTAAGCCTCTGAGAAGCATCTATCACGCCATTGTGGAAGTGAAAGGTTATCAAAGAGAGAATGAGAAGAAGGAAGAGTCAAGTGTATTAGAGAGAATCAGAAGAAGGAAGAGAAGAAGGAAGAGTAGAGTATTTGTGAAATGAAAGGGTTAAAAAACATAATTGCAAAGATGAAACGAAAAAAGTCAAGCATGCAATGTGTCATGAGTGACATGTTTTTGTCAAAAGTTGGTGAAAAAGATACTACGTAATTATCACAAATAAAAATGAAATTTGGTGACATAGGCCTCACTGTGGTTTCAAGCTTCGTTCGTTAGTTTCCTATATCTCTTTGTTTGCAACCACTTAAGAAAAGTGATTTTGACTTTTTTTTAAGAAAAAAACACTTATTTTATCAAACACTACCAACTTTTACTTTTTCAGCTTCCGTGTAGAATCTACTTTTTACTTTTTCTATTACACAAAAGACACTTATTTTATCAAACACTACCAACTTTTACTACTAATCACTTTTTATCAAACAATGCTTTTATTTAAGCACAAGTGGTTGCAAACAAAGCCTGATTGGACTCCGCGCAAACGTAATCCTAGTTGCAATGTTTTACTAACACATCATTTAAAACTTTGCCAAATTCAACAAGAACAGAGAATAATATACTTCCTCCGTTCTTAAATAAATGCAACAGTCAACATTTCACATTTGCCGAGGCACAACTTTGACCATTAATATATATAATTCCCGATTAGTAAAAAAAGTTTAAAAAATAGATTTTGAAAATTTATAATGAGAAAATTTTAATAATATTTTTTTCAAAAATATATATTATTACATTAATAAATAAAACGTAGTCAAAGTATAACATGTGAATAGTGCAAAAAGTCCAACGTTGCATTTAAAAGAGAACGGAGGTAGTAATAAAAATTGTGTGATTAAAAATAATATGCATCACAAATTAAGTTATTAAAAAAAGTCCACATGAGTTTTGGAACAATTTAAAAGAGGGAGATAACAAAGTTTTAGGTGACAGATGAATAATGAATTATGTGTTATGGAGTAATGAATTAATAACATGATTATGATGATA